AACATAAACTAAAAAAAATATAGCCAAAATTCTTAAAAGTACGACGAGTCTATTATTTCTGCCGCCAGTGTATGTTAGACGAGTTCAATTTCAATTGGAATGAATCATTTTGACGATAATCTGAAGCTTCATTTATTGTCATTGTGAGTGATAAACATAAAGATAACACAGATATGAAATTAATTAACTCCACGGCAATCAGAAAGTAAATGCTGCCGAATATTGCATTACATAACACATGAATATTACACATACAAAAAGCGTATTTATTTCCTTGGATTTGGTTTAAAAAACTCAGTTTCGGAAACAAAATTTTTTTTTAGATTTTAACATCAAACTGGCGTTCGATGAGGTTTACCGTTACGAGTTATTAGCGTAAATAAAAGGTGTGCATGCGGCAAAAGAATAGATAGGAATTTCGATAAAAACATCGATAAATTATTCGATTAAAATAGCGGTAGAGATAAAAAATATCTATATCACGATGAAAACGACGTTTAGAGTAGATGACATCATCATTAATAAGTATACAGAAATATAAAAATATCGATATCACTATTAAAAAGTCGATGACAATGATGATATTGACAATAACGACATTGGTTACAATAAAAATTTCGATAACAAGATGTTAACAATAACAGCGATAATAGTAACGATACAAATAAAGGTAAGATAACGACAAATGAGCGGGTAAAACAATTATATATTTTTTTTTTGCTCAGTTCCTCTCCTTTTCGTAGCAGATTTGTTTCGTATCAAATAGCACAGACCATCCCCTGTATGAAGCTTTAAGTAAAAAAAATTTACCAAGCAAATCCAAATGTTTTTTTGTGGCAAAATTAAAAAAGTAACATGCAGTTTTTTTTTTTAACAAAGTATAGTCGGTAATTTTTGCTGTCCAATTTTTACACATTCAATAAAACCAAAGTTAAGAATAAAATGTATTTTTTAATCTAAGAGTTAGCAAAAACTCCCAAAAGGTCCAGAAAAAATTCCGAAAAATGGCCGAAAAGTACCGAAAGACAAACATGACACTTTATAAATGCCAACTTTGACAATTTTTATGGACAAAAACTTTGTTTGCTCGGTCTTTCTCCGTCTTCTAGCTACACAAAAAATTAAATATTGGAATATTTTCTATCGATCTCTGAAAAAAATGTAGCGCCCAATTTGCGACTTTTAACGTAACTTTATATAGTAATAGTATAGAATTTATGGTATTTTTAAGCCGTTTTTAGGGTTAGGTTTGTATGGCAGGTATTGGTATGTGTTAAAATAAACCGGTTACTCCGATTTTTTGGATGATTAGTTATAATATTATTACTAACGTAAGGCCAAAATTTCGGAGTGATATATTTATTCATCGGCCCGCTTTTCACAGCCTTTTTAAGGGCGTTTTTGAGGTTAGGTTTGTATGGGTGGTGTGCTTTAGAATAAATCGATTACGTGGATTTTGGAGTTGATATAGAACGTTAATACAAACATATGGACAAAATTTCGGACTCATATATTCATCGGTGCACTTTTTATGGCATTTTTATAGCGATTTTGAGGTTAGGATTACATATATGAGAGATATGATTTAAAGTAAATCGATTACGCCGTTCTTTCTTGATTTATGCCCATAAATATTGCATGCAGAAAATTTAGGTTCTAAGCCAATTCCCTCCATTTTTTTTCTAAAAAATTTATGGGTCTGTACCACTGTGCAACATATAAACGTACGGGTATTAACATGATTGTTCACACAAATATTCCACGTCAACTTCGAACTCTGCATATAACACATTCCCTTGTACATTAACCGCCAAGTAGATAAAATTCCAGCGGTAAATAGATATGCTATAATTGTACACTTTGCGTGAACAAAGGACACAACCACTTCACTCTCATAATTACCTTAATCTTTCCGAATACGGATTTAGGACGCGTACGCTTTGAATAGTGACACACAGTGCTGCCATTTTTTAAGCAATGCATTGACGTTAGTAGACATCTTGTGAGCAACATAATAGTCATAGCTTAGCAATGCAAAAAAAAGTCAGAGCAGCAAACGCGACGCGTCGCATGGACCATGCGTTCTTCACTTCAAATTCACTTTAGTCTAACTAAATTTACTTTTATATAATAAATTAGTAAAACACCAGCATTTCCAAGCAACCAAACAGCCGCCAACTAACCAACCGGCCAACCAACCAGGCAACTCTCCGCTCCTTTTGTTGTGACTTAATGTTGAGCGAAGACGAAGCCAAAGGATAAGAGCACTCACTAAAGTGAAAATCGATATTCCTTTGGTGTTTCGTGAGTTAACGCCCTTGGCATCGCAAAATGAATGAGGAAATTTTTGTTTGCTGTCTAAAGCTTTTCTAAGGAATTTCATTTCAGTTTAAGTTTCACAATTCAGCCTTTTTGTGTGGTCGGAATCATGCAGCTGTTAAGGGGAGTTTTAATCGCTTCACTTCGACCTCTTCATGAATATTTTTTCTTCAAATTTTTTTAGCGGCCTTTTTTCTACTATAAACTCCTTTTTGTCGCGCACTCATGCACACTGTTGATTTCCAAGAAATGTCCTTTATTATGTTGTCCTTCGTGCAACGCCAATTTTTTTTTTTTCTAACGCGAATTCAGGTCACCTCGTAAATTTTTCATATAGATTTTTATAAAGAGAATAATTAGTTTAATCACTGCCACCGCTAGCTAGCCTTGCGTGCGTGCTAATGTCAGCTTGACTTATGGAAACGAAATAAAATATTTCACAAAGCTAAAAAGATTAGCCGCTGTGGCGTGGAGTATCGCAGCGCAAAAATTGGATTTCGTTATGGGGCTGTGGCGTAAAATGCAAACATACATACATGGGCGTAGCCAGGTAGGGGCAGGGGGGTGCTCGAGTCCCCCCTAACTTTCAAATTTTCCTTATATAAAGCTATGTGTATGCGCCACCCTTTTCTTGCTTCATTTACATACCAACTGTGTTGTTTGCATTTATTACCAAATAACAATTCGTTTGGCAGGCAGGGACTTCCCTGTACTTTTGTTTGCTCTGCACGCGAGTTGGCTCATTTCACACAAAGCTTAAGCTTTTACAATGCCAGTGACAAAATATTTGTGTAGAGTAATGTACAAAGTTATATTTATGCATATCGATGGTTTAAGGATTTCTCACTATGTTTATGCTCACTCCACATCCAGTCGGCGGCATGCTTGCGTTGATCACTACTAAATAATATTAAGGTCAGCGAAAATACGCCTTGTTTATTCGAAGGTTGTGAACCCGATCGAAACTTGTCGCACATGAAATGCCAAGATTTAAAATTTGTTTCCTTCATAAATACCTTTCATGTTTGTATATAAGCATTTATTTGGTGACGGCTTAAACTTGTAGATGGCTTCGTTTGCATACCATAAAGAAAGTTCGACGACGCTACAGAATAATACACAGTTAGAGTGGGAGCAAAATTCGACAGAGAACCAGTGAGCCCTGATAGGACCAGGGATCCTCGGACACAAACCATGTAGGTATCATCGACGACCCGCTGTGTACGTCTTGTTTGGAAGTTGAGTATAGTACAGAGCATTTTCTCTGCAGCTGTGCGACCTTCGCCAGACTGAGTTAGTACATTTTTGGGTGAGCCGATTACCGTGACACGTTAACAATCGATAATTATACCACATAGTTCATAGCCTATCTTTTACGTATTTTTAATTTTTTGGAGTTGTAGCATCATTCACCTGGCGCTTCTAAGTAGACACTCCTCTGATCTTAATCCTTCCGTCATAGTAAGTGCCCAATGACATCAATTCGTTCCCCAAATGGTATTCGACTGCCACTGTCAATGGAAAATTGCTATCATAAGTCTCTACAAATTTTCATCTGCACCCATGCTGATGGCGTAAACCAATGCACAGAAGACACTCGAATTATTTCACAAAGGGAAGGGTTCATAAACGCTTGAACTCAAGACCTTAGCGCTTCTTGAACCGTCAGCATACCAGCACTGGATGTGAGACCAAAAAGTGTTTTTTAGAGTGGTTACAGACGGTTTTGCTGCCTAGTTGAAGCTAAAGCATTTCTCAAGGTTCGACCTGTCGATTGTGTAACTCCTATTGAATTGGGGCTTGGAAATTTCCGCCTTAGTCTGCAGGTGCAACCTGTCTCTTTTAATGTTGAACAGGGCCTTCTTAGCTGTTTGGTTTATGAATACATGTAGTGGTTGTGGGTTCCAAATAATTCTCCAGTAGGGCAAGTTCGCATGCCTTATGTAACGTAGGTGCGTCTTAGCAACTGAGGCCTGTTGACTGAACGTCTAAGCGTGATAAAAGATGGTCCATTCCGACTACTCCACTGCTTCATATTTATGTCATCGTGGGTCTGGCTAGCATTGGATTTATGCACCACCACAGAATATAGGGGCTTCATCTCCAAGTTTTGGCCACCAGTCTTCGACTAAGGCCTTGTATGTTACCCGTCTCTTGGCGGTGAAGCGTCTGTTTATCGAGAAAACTGTTTACTAAAAGTGCCCTGAGTATCGGACCAAAGCTTTTAATTTTTTGTTTGCCTCAATAAAGACGTGGGAAGAAGTACTACTGGCTCGCGAAACTCTTCATAACCTATATTGCAAAACAGTTTCAAAATTTCCCGTGGCGCGAATGCAGATATCTTTTCAGCACACGCTTGTATTGAGAAGTTATTACGATTATTGGATCAGAGAGACAGTCCCTCAGGAGGTAGTTTTTACCGTTTAGTGCAGGGAGTACATCAAGAATCTACACAGTTAATCTTCACCCTACTCCTAGTGGCTCTCGCTTTTCTTGTATCTCTGAGTTTAACATCGGCCGTGTGCCTCAACCCGAACCCGAAATCGAACCCACTATGCTGCGGAGCCTGGAGGAGAAGCAACTGATCTTTCAAGGCTGACTCGGAGTACTTGAGAACTCAAAGCCATCAACACCTTATCAAACAAAAAAAAATCCTCCTACACATTTTCTCTCCAACTCACCTGTATGACAGCGGCATTCTCTTCCGTTTTCACACCATCCATTTCGGTGCGATTACGCATCGCTGCTGCCGCTTTAGCCTCCTGATAGTCGATATCACCCGTCTGTAGCCGTTTCATTTCAGCCAAATTGCTAGTTGCCTGCTCCGTGCTGAAACCATCGGCTACGACTTTCGTCTTCGATTCGGTCTTTGTGCTTCTCTCTTCGAATTTAACGGTATCGACAATTTTACCCGAACCGCCCAAGCCATTGGTGGTGGTAAGTTTGCCATTCGAGACACTAACCAAATCGGCCAATTTGTGATGATCATCATCGGCATCGGGAAATGTAACCAACGGTTCGGCATCGCTGTCGACGAGATTTTCAATGGATGAGCGGATTCTGAAATGAATGGAAAGAAATTAGTTTTTTACAAAGTTACAAAAGTAATAATTGAATTTCGAAAGTGCCTAGTAAAACGGCGTTCACATGCGGCGATTTCAGAGGCGATTGATTAGTTGAATCAAAACTTGGTTGGCTGCGCCTTAACTTCATTGGAAGCGATTAGTTGAAAGGCCATTCACACCAGGCAAGTAAAAGTTGCATATAAAATTGCCCCATATAAACGCCGTATAAGCAGCTCAACGTACTTCTTTTTCAAATTTTCAATGGCATCAGCACTGTTCAGCGCTTTCAATTGTGTGAGATCGTTTATGGATGGTTGATGTGCTGCTGCTGCTGAGATGGCCAAGTTATTGCTGCTGCTGCCCAGTGCACCGCTATTCGTGTTGTTGGCATTGCGGCCAACAAGATCCGTTATTTCAGACATGGAATTTTTCATTTCGCTTAAATCGCGTTGCAGTGCTGCCGTCTTCATTTCGGACGATGATGTCGACGACGAGGAGGTGGACGAAGATGATGAGGATGTAATGTGATGTAAACGTTTCTTTTCAACGCGTGTTGTTGTACTGCTGTTAACGACCTGAAAATGCAGAGAATGGAGAAATATGGAAAAGTTAATTGAAAAGTTATCACGAAAAAAAGGTACATATTTTGATTTTGTTGTCTTTGTTGTATGTAGATAAAGATAAATATTTACAATCTAGGAAAGATAAGGCTAGTGGGCAGCTAGATAAAGCACATAAGCTTGTGTGTAGAGGGCGCTGTTGGCAAGCGTCGAAGAAGTATTCGAATCGAAAGTCAAGGTGCACAGAAAGGATAGATTGACTGTGCAGAATTTGCGAGGTAAATCGAAAAAAAAAATGTTTTGCATGTCTTTCTATGTTTTTTTTTTCTAATTGAGGCTGGCTGCGCATAGAGATATACATTTGCATGTCTAAACAACATCGCAAAGATATTTTCGCAATGAGTCGTTTGCGCTAAAAATACAAAGCGACAATCGCAACAAATAAATATTTTGATTGTACACATTTGGTTTTTTTTTTTTTTGCTTGTTAATTATTTGTAATCATTATTGCAGAGCAGAAATAATTTTTTGTTTGCTTTGGCACGAATGTGCCACACTAGCGACTAAGTAAACGCGCAACGCTCACAAAAGAGAAATTTGGACGAGCGCCAGTGGTGAGCGAACAGACGTAATTACGCTTTTATCAGCGTACTATTCAAATTAAAGTGGAATATAATAAACACTCAAACAAAGGGAAGGCGTTTTCGGGCTGAATTAAAAAAAAAATGAATAGCCGAGTATGTTGGGGTTGGTGGAGGGCAATCGAAAGAGAATAATTTATTTAGTAAATTGAATTCTACAATTGTAGTAGATTTTTGCAGAAAAATAATTTTTCTTCATACAATAAAATATTTGAAATCTCGAATAAAATATGAATGTAACAAATTTGCAGCAAATATTACTGCTTGGTTTAAGTTGTGTACTGGCAGCGTCATCGGACCGTACTTCTTCGAGGACGAGGAAGGAGCTATAGGAGCCGCCAATTCTCAGTGATATGTTGTCAAGATCAAAGTTCATTTTCCCCTGAAATTTAAGATTTTGATCTGAACGAGGCGTGATTTCAACACAAGACTGTGCCCACAGTGCTACTTAACTTAAAAGTTCAATAAAAACAATCGGTGATTTACTTTTCGGGATTATTTTAGGTAATATTTTATTTGTGAATTTTTTTTGAATATCGAGATTCTTCCTGCTATATTTTTCGGGATATTTCGGTATTTTTGAGACTTCAGAATTTTTCATAATTTATTCAGGTATTTATTAATTTATTCAGGTTACTACTTTGGGATTTTCATGACTTCTCGAGACTCCTGTTTATTTTTGAAGGATTTTTCGGGATTATTCCTCCTCGATTTTTCGGGAGCTTTCGCGATTTCATGATTAGTACTTTCTAGACTATTTCGGAATTTTTGGGACTTCTTGGATATACGGTATTTAGTGAAGACATATGTAAATATTAGATATCATATTAAAGGGGCAGGACACACTATATGCTGATACTCAACTCTTGAGACATGACTTGGCTGATATCATATCAGACCAATTCGACTACACGAAGCCAGATCTCCTCAGCTTTCATTAACTTTGGCATTCGTATAGTACGCAGATGGCCTGATTTTGCACGGTTAACTACTTTTCCTGTACCGTTAAATAGTTTAACAGTGAATTTTAGCGACGGCAACACCAAAATTCACGGCAACCTGATTTTCAATTGTGCCAAATTTCATTATTTCAAATGAAAAACGTTTAACACGGCAATTTTAATAGCCCTTTTTATACGGATATTTATTATTTAGTTTTAATATTCAAAATGCGATTTCCTTTTGAGATTTTTCCATAATTGATGTCATCGAAATAGAATCTATTGAATGAAGCTCACTAGTTCTTAATACTCCTAGCAAATTCTTCAGTTGACATAAAATTTAAACTTCGAAAGAAGCATCAAGCTCAATCGCAAAATTACAGTTAAAGCTGCGCAAATATTTATTTACATTCGGCACACATAATTGAATAAATTACTCTGGCACGACCAGCCGGCTACCAAAACAATTGAACACGTAAAAAAGCCATAAAAACTAAAGAACTATAAAATCCATTATTAGCCCGCAAGCAAGTGAATATGTACAGTCTCGCACAAAATTATTGGTACAGAGAATTTTTCACAATGTATGCAACATTTTTTATTTCAAGTTTTTTCCGTAAATTCTCCATAAAAATATAGTTTACACTAAACCAAAAAAAACATAACAATACAATTTCTGAACTTTGTGCAAAGCTCAGGAAAATTCAATACATTTCCAACTTTCACAGAAAAATTTTGAAAATTTTAGTGCAAATTATGGTGCAAGTTTGAAGTTGCTAAAAATTGCGTTGATTTTTGGCAATTTTTTTTCTAACAGTTTCACGCAATTTTATTTTAAAAATTTTTCAAAAAATCTGATAAGTTGAAAATTTGTTGAATTTGCAGAAATTTTATTTTTATATATTTTGTTGTATTATAAATTAGACTTTTGTAAAAAACTTGCGGAAAAAATTCAAAAAATTTTAAAAATTTTCTATGCCAATAATTTTATGCCGGACTGTACCTAGGCATGTAGCAAATTTTATGCCGGCACGAAAAGCCAAAGTACAAAATAAAAAGAAATAAAATTTAATAATTTATTCATTAAAGAAAAAAAGGAGAAAAGCCAGCAGGCGTTTTTCGCAAAGCTCAACAGCGAATTCCATTTATTGCGCGCAATGGCAGCTGGCAAATAAAATATTTTTATTTTAATGTACTCTAATATTTATACAGTATATACTGCATATGTAAGTTCGCAATAGAACTGTGCGCATAATGATTGCGGTTTAATAATAAATTGCCTACACTCCACACATAATATGTATGTAAATTACCGGCAGGGCGTATACGTAACTAATTGCTCACCGTGCGCCACTTTCTCGTAAAGGCGAAAATAAATAATAAATTTTTAGTTTAAAATTGGCTTGCTGCTTTTGAATTCTTCTTAAAATGTTGCAATCGCGCTTTAAGGAATATTCGCGCAAATGGCTGACTGCCGCCACTTTGTCTTTTTTGGTTGTAAAAACAACTTTTTTTTTTAGTTTTTCATCATTTATTGCATATTTATGTAAATATATGTTTATCTTCTTCAAATCTCGCTATTAGTAATCATTGCTAATTTTGGTCAAGTTGTACGTACAGCGTATGTTTTTTTTTTTTGTAATTTAAATTTGCGAAACTTTTCACTTTTTTCATTTATTTACTTTGCTTAGGCGAAATTTCATTCTTGACGCATATATGTACATATATTATGGATCTTATAGAGACATGCGTCTACACATGAATGTTTGTTAATCACCGGCACATTGTGTCACTCAACGTCTATCCAGTTTTGTCGCCTTTTTAGCTTATGCAGCTTTAGTGAGTGTAGGCGTACGCGGCGTCTAAAAGTCGCTCTTTCACTAATAACATTTAATTTTTATAAGGAAATCTGTTGTCTGGAAACTAATGCTAAAATGAAAAAATTGCCAAATTTTGGTCTTAGCTTACTCAATCTTGAGCGCTTTGACAGCTATCAGCTTAATGCCGGATGAACACTCATCCTTGGTAGGTCGAAGAAAAAATATTACCAGCAGAAAAATGAATGGGATTTCGTGAGAAATTTTAAATGTACTGGTATTTAAGTGAAATTCGCTAAATTAGAAAATTCTGCGGAAAATGAGAATGTTTCAACCCGGCCAATTCGTGCAATCTATTTATTTAGAAAATAAATATTAATTTTGAAGAAGAAACTCGCCTTTGGTTGCTCATTCTAATTATTGCATTATTTTTTTGTTAAAAATAATAATTTTCCTACAAATTCTGAACACTGAATCAACCTTAAATAGCAGTAGTTCCACAAATATCTCGACTCTCACGATTTTGAACTAAATCGACCGATAAAAATTGATCTCAACTCTAGCGCCACCTAGCAGCTTTACTTTTCTACTTTTCTACTTGTGTGGCCAATAGATGCGCATAATATGATCTTATTATTAACCAAATCGGAAAATAAATACGGTTGTTGTAAATATGTTGACTCCAGCGTCACCTAGCGGATCCACATAAATTTACTAATCCTCCTCCCAGGCCCGCTCAAAAAAGCTTACACAAATTTAATTACAAACAGAAATAGGTCTAACAGCCCTATTCCGCCACACTGACAAAACTCACCGCGATGACAATTGATATAAAAATGACAATTGCAGCTTTTTGGTATTCACAGCAAAATTCAAAAGCTCGAATCATGCCAATTGTCATTTTTATTGTCATGTCCTTTTGGGCAGGTGACAAGGCAAAAACATATGTTTGTGTTGGTTTAAAAAGTGCGACGATTTAATAAATTTGTGAAAAAAATTTAAAAATCAACTAATTTCAATGGCAGAACAAATTTTAGTTATTTGCGCAGCCGTGCTTGTGGAAGACGAGCAGCTCCGGATGCTCCCTACAAAACTGCACATAAAATTGCAGCTGCTCCTGCGTCGTCCGCTCATATTTTGCACGTCTAAAATGTTTATAAATTTTATAAATATACGAATTTATGTATTTCACACAAATACTCACTTTTCTGGTGTTTCACCGCTCATATTTTTTGCAAATAATAGCGTTGACCAGCTGTTTCTACAACAATGAACTTTTCACCATGCATGACAAGTTGACAAAAGCTTTTCGCTTGTCATTTTTTGTTAGGAATAGCAACGTGCAACGACAATGACAAAATAACGACAATGAAGGATGATCAATTGTCGTTCTGTTGCAAAACCGGAATAGGGCTGTTAGAGGCATGAAGGGCCAAAATTGTAAAGAATTATTAGATATGATCAGGAGAAGAGCTTCCCCAAGGCCAGTATATTTACTCCGTGTGCTTCTAAATGGAAGTTTAGGAAAGCTCTAAAAAGCTGCTGTATGATATTTTTTTAGACGTGACTGGTTTATAAACAAATGCTTGAGAGATCGTTTAACAATAAATCAGTAATTCAATCGAGCTTTTCCATAAGAATTCGATTTAAAAAGCTTCAAAGCTCCATACGGCAACATTTTTAAACATAATTATATTAAATAAATTTAAATTTAAACTCACACAGCTCCTTATGCACGCAAAATAAAAGCCTTAAAGCAGTTTTGGCAAGAAGAAGCTTTTACACTGCGCTTAAAGAGAACCCTAGCTAGGCGGAGCCCATTACCAATATAAAACAGACACGACTAAAGCCAGTCTTGATTGAAATATATCCTGCGAAGGAAGCTTTTTAAAGCCCTCTCTTTATATTTTTTATATCAGTGAGGCCCATTGAGAGCTTTCACACAGAACGTTTATTGCAAATCTAATCAAGCTTTCAAAACTTGCTTCCCCGTGATGGGTTTTGATCGTGACTGTTTTATATGCACGCGTTCAGATCAAAAGCTTTCTCTGGTTATCGCTGATATAAAATGCCCGAAAAGTAAGAAAAAACGATAGCTTTTATTTTATGCAAGCCGTATATACATACATACATAAATTGCTCTTAAAAGCTTATGAAGTCGCCAGCATTGCTGTGAGACAGTGAGTTTCTAGCGATTACCTTAAAAGGGGACCGTAATACCTTAGTTTCCAATTTGTTTAGAATATTGGTTATCTCTAGTCCGTGAGGTTGCAGGGGGGATTCGTAGTACCGCTGCAACAACAACAACCTACAATTTTACGCCGACTCCGAATGGCGATTGTATTTTTATGAGAAACTCTTTTTCATGGCAGAAGTACGCTCGGAGGTTTGCCATTGCCTGCCGAGGGCCACAGCTATTAGAAAACAACTTTTTTATGTTTTATTTTTTAATGTTGGTCGGAAACTGGACTAAAATCCAGGGCCTGCGGAATGGTAGCCAGTGGTAAGGAGATAGTAAACGAACTGCATGAGCTGGAAACTAGTGCTTGTTACTTCGAAGATTCTTAAACTGCAAGATCGATAGTATATAATCAAGTTTTGAGTCTAGGCTCCGGCCCACAAAAGTGTGGTAAGGCCTATGCAAGTCATTAAATCAAGTCTTTTTCCACTTTATAGCTTAGCTACATGCCAACCTAACAATTTTTTTTTTTATATGATGGTGGACTTCTTCATTTCATAGTTACTACACTGTAGTTCATTCAGTCCAGACACTTTCAGTCATTAAGCTCACTTCAAACCACATTCGTTTTTATAAGTTCATACATATTTACATATCTACTAACCTTGCAACAGCTCTACAATTGCAAACACTTTTTTTGCGTTGTTATTTTTTTTTTTGTTTTGTATTTTCTACTGTCTTTTCAGTTCCTTCTTGGTGCTTTAGCTTCTACCGCTGATCGCAATTTGATCAATCAATCAATTTATGCTTGTTTCACTTTAGTGCTTTTGCGCAAATCCGTGAACCGGTTCGCCTCTTCCTTTTACTACATACACGTTTTCTTGCCTTTTTTTGCTTTTTTGTTGTTCGTTTCAACTTTTACTTTGTACTAATTTATTATCACTTCTTTTTGAGAATCAATATTGTTAAGTTGTGTACTTCTGCACTTATGTATGTATGTATGTATGCGGGCGTAGCTTTTTAGCTGCCTGCGTGCGTTTGTGTTGGTGCTTTTGAAAAAAAAAAATCTATACTTTATCGTTTCACCAAAGATTGTCTGCTATCTTAAAAGCACATAAAATAGCAAAAGTATGCATGTAAGTATTTATGTCTGGCATACAAAATGAGCGCTGCTTCAATAATACTTTGCGACACGTTGACTTTATTATAATTTACTCTTCACTTAATTGTAGCTTTCGGCAGCTTTTGAGGTTGATTAATGTACCTTATTTTGGGTGCGCTTAAGTTCACTTGGCTTTTGGCATAAGCAGCATGAAATTTCTTGTAGCTGTATATATTTTTGTTTTCTGCAATTTCACGTTTGTTTTATTTGTCTTTTATTTCAGTCACTTTTTCACGTATTCAATCGCGTGTTTTTTTTTTTCAATATCTGTACGTTAGTTTGTGCGGTGCAATTTCTGCCTGAGTATCTTTAATTCATCGCTCGTACGTGCAATCTTCGCAACTGTTTCGCCTTTAGTTGGCTATCTAGAAATCAGCCAGTCACAGTACCTTTAATTTTACTTGTACTAACAATTACATACACACACTTAACTTTTTTTTCGGTGATTCTCTATCTACAAGTTCTTGCCTCACTTTTGCTATTTTAATTCACTAGCTTGTCGATTTTCGCTTAAGTCTTCCAAGCTGATAACAGCGATACGGCGCAAAGTTTTTCTTAAAAATTTTTTTTTTCGAAATTTTTTTATTTTATTTTAAGCTGCTTTATTGCGGCTGGTTCACTTCAAGCTTTATCGCATTGCGCTTGTAACTGATTCTATACACAGTTCAGTTCAGTTCAGTGTTTTTTTTTTTTTTTTGTGAGCGTTTTAGTTGCGCAGCTCACTTTTACTCACTTTTATTTCGGAATGAATAATTAATTCCGTTACGCTCTTCGTTTTAATTAGATTTCTTAGAAATCAGGTTTGATTTTTCGCTTTATATTTACTTTTCGTTTCTTTTTTGTTTTATTTTGTTTCTTTTTTTCTCGCGCTTTAGACTTTCGTTTATTTTGCAAAGCGTTTCGTTATTTCATTTCGCGTTTTTTTTCACAAAATCATAGATCATCGTTTTTTCTATTACAACTGCATCAATATTNTGCTGTATACTTTTAGGCCCCACTTCCTTGCATTTAGAGAATTTTGGCGACGAAAATTGACGCGTAGCGATTGCCAGACTTCCACTGCTAATCACAGTCGTTTTTTTGTTGACAGAGTTGGCTGTCATTAATGAAAATGCCAACCAGCTGTATACCGTTATAATGTGAAATCAGCATCTACTTCGATGGGCAAGTGGCAATCAGGGCCTTTTGATCACTCAAGGATCACTTAAAATTAGCCGGCGAATGAATGAGCTTTCCCGCGGTTGCGTAAAAAACTGTCCACTTCATTAGTCTTTCGGAAAACTGTAAAGCAGATATTTTGACCAGTGCCATTCGTTCCCTCGCCAAGCAGGTCTACGTAAGCGGCACATCCCAATCGGCCAAGGGCTGGTACTCCAACGCAATCCACAAAGACTTTTCGATAAATTTTTATGCTGCTACAACAACAACAACCATGGCCAATCAGTACCTTATGGTAGTCTAATCGGAAAAGAAGCGATTGCGCGTAACTTTGACGTACCTTGGACTGAATGGTCTCATATCAACCCAGCAAGCGCTATGCCATAGCACAATCTTTATAAGCTGGGGTGTACCGGAGTTGGTGAAAGGTTCTGCATAGATATTTTGTACTAAATATGGTTACCACAACGCAAACCTGTTTCACCGTTCCACCATCTTCAGTGCCTTTTTTCGTTGTACTTGCCATTGTAGAACATATTTTTCTCATGACTTTTAAAATCTCGACTTTTATTACTCTGAAAATTTAATTACGATCGTTGGCTCATGCAGGAATTAACGGTATTTCTAAATATTTATGTGAGTATTGAAAACGATTGGTTTTTGTTTGGCTTAAAAATTATTTGTTAATTTGTTTTTTTTTTTTTACTTCTGACTCTTTTTAGCAGTAAATAAATAGTAAATTTGGGTTTTTATTTTTCATGGGTTTTCGGAATTTTTCGGATTGTGTCCAGATTTTTTCAAAAGTTTCCGGATTTTTTTTCGGGGCGTTTTTGAGACCTTAGCAATAATTAGTTTCAACTGCAACCCTTTTTTATGAAATCACTTAAAAGAAAGTTTAATATAAGTATATAAGTTTAAAGAAAGTATAATTTACTTTCAACCGATGAAACTGGAATCAATATTCCTGCAACTGACACAATTAGCACAATTTATTGTTGTGTGTTTAATCGTAGGCAAGCAAAAAAATATAGTTTTACTTAGCCAGCAAATTATTACTATTTTTGGCACATTTACGTTCACAATAGTGCGGTTTCATATATGTATGTACATATGTTTTGTTTAGAAAGAAAAAAGTTTACTCATTCAAGTGTTTTTAATTATGAGCCCGTAGCTGTAGATGACTTGGCGTTCTTCCTTGAAAATGTGACTGTGAAATTTATAATTCAATTTGCGATAAAGCTCCATGCTTGTGTGCTAGAAAATTCGTGAAGTTATATTTAATTTCTTTGATATCATTTTTGATAATTCATAATTTATGTAAGCTGTTAAAAAATCATACTGTTAAAAAGTGAATATACAAATGTAGTATGTACCTAAATTAGGGTGCCTCACCAAAAAAGTTGCGAGTTAATTATAAGATTCAATAAATTTTAAGAGTTTCGCCAAAATAATTCGTGGAAAAATTAATATATATGTATGTAAGATGGGCCGATTTAAAAACTACCCCCAAAAATGTCATTATTTTGATTCCGTTGATAAAATTTGTAAGCCTAAAAGTGATTTTTTGTAAAAAAATATTTTTTATAACTAATTTTATTTATACTAGAAAGATTTTCAAATCGGTACAGCTCAAGTAAATTTTAATATTTTTCTGAAATATTTTGGCGTAAGTCTCAAAATATATTAAATTTTATAGTTCCCATGGAAAAAAGCGCGGTTTTGTTCCATTTTTTTCCAAAACCGGTTTCCGAGTTATTCGTAGAATTGCAATAAAAAAAAACGGTTCCCTATATTGAAAGTAAGGAAAAAACCGGATAAACCGGTTTTAAAATTCGGTCTATTCGATATTCGAAAAATAAAGATTTAAAAAAACCGCCTATAGGTATCCAAAAAAACCGATGG